TTTGTTTTTGTGCTGCGTTAAATATTCGTCATAACGTAAATTGTTTTAAATCGAAACTGAAATCTGTATTTCAGGCCAGATGCTAATTTTGTGCATGAGCAGTTCTCGTATTCAAGGAAGGACATAAACTGAGGGCCTTTGTCGGATTTAAGATAATGAGATTGCCAGGCGACTGGGGAAAATTGCGTAAAGGTGACCTTGATTAAGGGTACAGCTGTAGCGTAGTTGCTTGAGGCACTATGCTAAAAGCCGGAATGTCGCGGGTTCGATTCCCGATGAGGTCATTGGATTCTTCGATTTACCTAATCCTTCCAGCCGCACTATGGACCCTGGGGGTTGACTCAGCCTCTAACAGAAATGAGTACCAGGAATCTTCCTGGGGGTAAAGGGCGGCCGGCGCGTAGGGCTGACAACCTCAACGCCATCTGTGAGCCGGATGTCTAGAAAATGTGGGAGCCTCGACGTCATTACCCTATGGGCCTTCACGGCCTGTGCAGATACTCAAGAATTTTCTAACATTTTACGGAACTCTTAAGGTTCGTTTCCGTTTTTACAAGAACCCTCCACTGTTCATATCCTGAGAAAATCAGTCTAGTCCATACCAATCCATCCCATTTTATATTATTGACACCCCCCCCCCATTACGTCTCGGTTTCCTTCTGGCTTTCCCACCAAAATCATATATGCATTCCTCTTATTCAGTATTCGTGTTACATGCCCTGCCCATCTCATCCTCCTTGATATGATTATTCTAATTATACTTGGGGGAGAGTACAAGTTATGAAGCTCCCCATTATGAAGTTTTCTCCAACCTCCTGTCGCTTCATCCCTCTTCGGTCCAAATATTCTCCTCAGCGCCCTGTTCTCAAACACCGTCAGTCTGCTTGTCGAAATGGAGCTTTGTGCATAGAACACACATCTGGAATTGTAGGGCTGGACAGTGTACCAATTCACTTTGATGACTACACTTCCACCCGGCCTCTGAGACAAAGCATTACATCATGCAGTGCTAATGATTGCATATGGACATGGTCTTTCATCCTGTTCTATTTTTGGGGACAAGGAATAGTGCACTCCAGGAGGTCTGAGTAATTAATATGTCTGGGGCACAAACTGCTTTGAGCTTCACATAAATGTTAGCGGCCAGTTCCCCTGTTCCGTATTAGAGACATCCTGGCTTCAAATCTCGACCGGTATACCAGCTGTATTGTCTTTTTCGGGATTTTTCTCATACCCTCCATGCGTATATCTGGCTATAACCGCAGATTTGGCTACTACATTCTGTCCAATTCATTTTACACTAATAACCATATAATTTGACACTGTGTAACCGAAGTTACTGATAAGGTCGCAAAATAATTACAAATAAATAAATTAACAGATATGACATCATGCGATCTCCATGTTGTCTGTGTGTCTGTATGTCCTCTCTAGTTAGCTTTTGAATCCTTGAAAGAATATTTATCCGGTCTAGAAAACCCAGATTAACGGCCGTGGGGATTCGTTGTGCTGACCACGCGACACGCTCTATCCGCTAAAGTTGGAACTAAAATTCGGCGACAAGCGGCGGTCGTTCGCTCGGTATAGTTCTCCTGCGGACTAAAACCACGGATTTTTGTTTTGATTTTTTGAAAGAATCTTTACGAAACTTGGTATATATCATGACACCTCAGCCCATCTCAACAACGTGCTTCATAAATCCCCCCTCCCCCAATCAGTCCGTGTGTTTCAAGGCAACGTCTCGGTAAAGGCGTTCCCGCAGCTACGAATACACGCAACAACAGAATAATTGTTGGACGCATAATTTTATATACGGTCCGAGTCTTATGAAAGAGAGTCCGTGGGTCAGTCTGTGAGATTGCCGTTGCCTAGCAACGATAGGGAGGATACACAGAGACCCACAGACTCTCCTTTGATACATAATGGACGGCACAGAAAGCGACGCTTCCAACAGTTCTTCGATTGTTTTGTGTATTGGTTGCCGCGGGAACGTGTTTACCGAGCCGTTGCATAGCAACGAAAGGGAGATACAGAGAGGCCCACAGACTCCTCTTTGATATATCAAGGACGGCATATAGAACGACGCTTCCAACAATTTTTGGATTGTTTTGTGTATTGGTTGCCTCGGGAACGTGTTTACCGAGCCGTTTCCTTGCAACGATAGAGGGGATACACATACAGACACGAAGACTGATGAATGCGCCGTTGAGATGATCTCAGGCGTCATGATATGGTGGCGTGCCGCCAAAAAGGACAGAAGACACGTCCACTGATAGGCAACGGCTGCGATAAGAATATAAACTTCAGTGGAAACGCAATACCAGTAGACCGTTGACCAGGAATAGCTGAAACATGAAATACGTTTCCTCGGAAATGGAAGGATATCCATGGAAACGAATACTACCAGCAGATAAAACCAACCCGTTGATCACGATGTTCACTAGTCAGTCCGAGTGCACGTTATAAGAGTCCAGCTTCGACGAGACCAGTCAGTTCTTAGTGTAGCTCTGACTAGAGCAGAAGCCAGCTCCCATCTGACAAAGGACAGAAGACTTCACCAAGACCAGCGCTGCAAGCATTTGTGAAAATTAAGTCGTGAATGATTGCGCTTGCGAATGTAACAGTGACTGTCCAGTAAAATGTTTGTTCAAATCCGGGAACCCCCAAAATTTCTGGTCACGTTGCCTAGCAAACACGCGACAATATACATACCAAGTTTTATGAAGTTTGGTTCAGACGTTCAGCAGTTGATAGGGAGGATACACAGACAGCGTAGCGATCACATAAGCCTACTTTCGTTTCTGCAAAATAAGGAAAGGAATGTTCAGGGTTAAGGGCAAGTAGGCTTAGCGGAACTTTGTACAGACAAGATGAGAGGATATTGTGTTAATGATATGGGAACCCACGCCTTCCTGGTACCGGGCCCTGCTCCGTCTCTGATGCTTGTTAACGACAATAATTCGTGTTCATGTGTAATTCTCGTGCAGCCAGCCTCTTGCTCCCTTCTCTCGTGCAGATCATACTTGCATAATTGGTAATGTAACATGAAGATAGCTAACGGATCCTTTGAAAATGTGGCACAGTTCGGATATTTGGGAACGACGATAACAAATCGAAACCTGATTCAGGAGGAAATTAAGAGAAGATTGAACTCGGGTAATGCTTGCTACCATTCAGTCCAGAACCTTCTGTCTTCTCGCCTGCTGTCTTAAACATAAAAATTAAAATATACAAAACCAAAATTTTGCCCGTGGTTCGGTATCGGTGTGAAACTTGGTCTCTGACATTAAGGGAGGAACACAGACTGAGGCTGTTTGAGAACAGGGTGTTGAGAATATTTGGACTGAAGAGGGATGAAGTGACAGGAGGTTGGAGAAAACTGCATAATGAGGAGCTTCGTAACTTGTACTGTTCTCCAAGTATAATTAGAATGATCAAATCAAAGAGGATGAGGTGGGCAAGGCATGTAGCACGAATGGGGCTAAGAGGAATGCATACAGGATATTGGTGGGAAAAGCAGAAGGAAAAATACCAGTAGGAAGATACAGACGTAGGTTGTGGATGATATTAAAATGGATCTTAGAGAAATACGATGGGATTGTATTGGTTGGGTTGATCTGGCTCAGGATCGGGACCAGCGAACGGCTCAGCTGAACACGGTAGTGCACCTTCGGGTTCCATAAAGTGTTTGGAAGTTCTTAAGTAGCTGCACAACTGGGAGCTTCTCGAGGAGTGCTCAGCTCCATGAAGTTAGTTAGGTAACATTTGTTTGACATCTCATAAAATGGCATTCGTCATGAATATTAGTACCTGAGATTTACTGGGTCCTTGGTCCGTGTCCATTGTACGGTAATCTAAGAACTAGAGAACACGACGTTTCGGAAACTGGATCTGTTTCCGTCCTAAGGTGGGGGGACACACCTGAGTTCCCTGTAAGGCCTACAGATTACTCCCAAAACTCCTTAAACCTGTTCTATTAATTTGGTTGCATGAATTACTACCGGATACTACACAAAATCTTCACGTTTTTACATATGCTTGTAAATATTTACGCTATTATAAAATATTTCCCTATAATTTGTATTTATTTGTAAGCCCACCTATTTCAGGGGGCACGCAGTGATGTAATTGGTTGAGACACTATGCTACAAACCGGAAGTTCGGGGGTTCGATTCCCGATAAGGTCATTGAATTTTTCATCTGACTTAATCCTTCCAGCCGCACTGCCCTGGGGTCGACTCTGCCTCTAAATGAGTACCAGGAATCTTTTTGGGGTGTAAAGGGCGGCCGGCGCATAAGACTGACAACCATACTGCTATCTATGAGTCGATTTTCTAGAAAATGTGGGATCCTCGATGTCTCACAACCCTATGGGTCTCCACGGCTTGTTGCAGGGATAGCTTTATCGCCTATTTCTAGAGCAGTGCCGGCGAATAACAAGCCCACGAGGATCGAAGGCTGGACGTTGTCGAAACCGAAAGAAGAAGCGTCGAGACCAATACGACGTTACGGTGCCATTCGCGAGGGCTATCATAGGCGTCATAATCACGTCCCCCCTCAGAGAAGAAATTGCCGGACGCCTATAGGCTATAGACATGGCTTTCTCAGTGCGGTCAGTGTGTAGTGAGAGGAACGCGGGCGCTTTGTTCTTTCCGGGACTTTTTGTTTTGCCTTCCTTGACGCTTTCAGTAGCTCAGCCCGTATAGTGTCGAATGGCAGGGTGATTGCTGAATAATGAATTGGAACGGATGTTGAAGGAGGTGGTCATGGAGTAATTTCAGGCAAAGTCCTGGCTCGTTTGCCTGGTGGGAGTGAAGAAAATCAAAAAAAGAATCTCACGATAAGTAGTGTCGCTGCCGAGATTCGAACCTGTCAACTCCCGAAAACAAGTCAGTAGCGTTACAACTTTAGCCAACCTTCAAGATAATGCAGTTTACCTTTCTGGCTGGCTCAGTAAATTAAACAATTTTTATGAATAGAGTAAACTAGATCAGACTTACCAAAATGTGTCCACTTCTGTCAGTTGTTGGTGTGACGACAGTTGGGGAGTTCCCGGTTCTTCTGGAACCGTCGTGACGGGGGCAGGCACCACAATCTGCAAGTTTCGCCTTTCCTTCTTTGTATGAAAGGATGTGTGACATTGGTCACACAATTGTGAATAGATAGTGCAATTACAGAAAGCAAATTGACTTTGTGTCGTACGAAATTTGTTATTCGCTCCGTCAGCTTCTTGAAGATCCGGGTTGCGGAAGAAAGCTTACAGTTTAGAATAATCGCGCTTATGGGCCCCCGCTAGGGTTCTCTTCGTGGGGGTGGGAGAACCAAGAAAATTTCTATTTAGAATAGACAAATATTTTTTAAAATAATTCTAATCCTTAATATTGACATTTCGTGTATTTTGTGGTTTTGTAATTTACAGTTTAGAATAATCGCGCTTATGGGCCCCCGCTAGGGTTCTCTTCGTGGGGGAGGGAGAATCGAGAAAATTTGTATTTAGAATAAATATTTTTTCTAAAAATAATTATAATTTTTAATATTAACGTTTGGTGTATTTTGTGGTTTTGTAATATACAGTTTAGAATAATCACGCTTATGGGCCCCGCCAGGGTTCTCTTCGTGTGGGTGGGAGAACCAAGTAAATTTGTATTTAAAATAGACAAATATTTTTTAAAATAATTCTAATCCTTAATATTAACATTTGGTGTATTTTGTGTTTTTGTAATTTACGTTATAAAAACAGGACAACTTGCGGCTTTCAGAAATTGTTTGGGGGCACACACTCAGCCTTCCAGACACAACAGGAAGGCGATCTCATAAGTCTTGTTAATTTTTTCTTTTCAAAATGAGGGAAATAGGCTAAAAATAATGCTGATTCCTTTAGAAGGGCGACAGTTCATAATGACATGTAGGGAAGCGGAGTCTCATGCATTCTTATCCTCGACAGTGAACTAATGTGAGTGGCCAGCCTCTGTCTCCGGCCACTTTACCTCCATTTTACCTCCCTGAAAAAAGTTTCCTGGTACCCACTGTTAAGTTGGCGTCCTCGAGAACCGGCCTGGGCTTTGTGGCCCTTGTTAGCCCAGTCTGTATCCCGTGACGCCGTTAGCTCGTACTAACGCGCTGAGCTAAGTAGGCTCACATCCCCCCCCCCATATTATTTGGTTTCGACAGAATGTATCTCTTTTTTAAGTTGGATATAAAATCCACCGAACGAGTTGGCCCAGCAAGTAACACGTCTGTATGTTTCCAAGAGATGCCCGGTTCCTCTTTCGGCTAGAACACAAATTATCATGGAGGAGGTCTTCGATATTTCTCTCGGCATCTATAGCAAATGCCTAGATGACACTTCAAATTAGGTCACGACCGCTTCCTGCTGCATCCTGTAAGATTTATTGATCACTAATCGGCGCTATGCAGTCAGAGCTGGGTGCGTCGATAAACCATAAATAAATCTTTTTTGAATTGTTTCATTTTTGGTCCGTTCACTATCAGTCACAAAGTTAATCAGAAGTGATAAAGAAGTGACCTACAAATTGTTCCACTCGACGGACTTTCTATTAACTTTGTCATAAATAAATCCTTCTATATTAAAGGCTAATGCTCGCCATTTTGTCATTACTCTAATGTTCAGTAGCAGCCCGAATTTTTAGTAACAAATAAGAGCAGAAGATGGCAGTAGTAAGCGCCAGTGAGTGTTCCCGTTGGTACTGGTGAGGTCTCGACCTTTGCCGAGAAGTGTTTACCTGTAGACGGCACTGCTTACTCTTTCAGGCTGTTTTTTTTTTCGTTCATAGCTCGCATATTCGATGCAGTTTCAAAATGTCCCTTAATTGCTATGATATTGTAACGTGTTTGGAGTAGGTACTTCCATGATAACGCTGGCAAGGGCCAGCAGCATATGCAAAAGACAGACCCGTCCTCTCGTCAGAGAGGGCGCCCCACAAAAATAAGACCGTAACTGTCAAATGGTAATAATTAATATCTGGGGCTCGACACCAAGACTTACTTTCTGACTGGCCGTCAGTCGCAATGTGATTTTGACTTTGACTTTGACACGGAAGAGAACGAGACAGTTGGGATCGAGCCACGACCAAGAACAGTTGAGATGTCGCACTGAAGTAGAGGCAGTAGTTGCGATACTGGAAGTTATAATAACTGTAAGGTGTGTAAGTGTGAGTGTCCAATAAAGATTCGCTAAATCCGAGACCCACGTGAAGTTATTTGTCACGTGACATACCCAACACGTGACAATATGTAAAAGTGAATGTATCGGAGAGTCATCTATGGATACCGTAGCTAGAAATGGGATTTCTCAAAGTTTCTCTTTAAAATTTTGAATGGATTTTATGCTAGAAGAACACGCTATATAACAGATTCTTCATGTAGAATACAACCATAGTAAAAATGTTTATGGTTACGAAACCGTAAGTAATTTCAGATTAACTGCCCAGAAATTATTGAGAAAGGTTTCTTTCACTGATTTTCTCAACTAGCAAAAAAATTCTTATGAGAGAGGCGTTTTAAGCGAAATATCTCGTGCGTAGCATGGAGAGAGGTAATTATGCAATGTGTTCGATAATAATAAGACGATTGACACTTGTAATAAATAAGGAAGAAAACGAATATTTTCGTAAGAAAAAGAATTACCAGTGATAAATATTGACACATTGAAATTTGTTGAAGTCAGAGAGGAGACATGTATGCAGGTCTCGTCTTGTTATATACACGCTGAATTCATTTCACCTTTCATAGTAAGATTTAGGCAAAATATATAAAATGTATATTTATTTTCTAAGAATATCATTCGAAATTTTTACCTCCGATATATAATTATCCAGTTACCAACTGGAGCACAGAAACATATGTAAATCTCCGTGTAAACTGACCGTTCTTTTACCCTGTTTTAACCAGAACTGTAATATGTACACAAAGTTTAGTAAAATTCCTCAAATATAAAATCCGCTAAAACGTTTTGAAGTTGTTACAGACAGGCACACGTTGCGAAACTGACAGACGTATTTTGAAACTTTTCCTTTGCAAACTCGGGTCAAAAGTATGAATTTACATGACACTTCGGTATTTGCACCACCAGCAACTAAACGCTACCTTCCGACGGGTTCCTCTTCTGCTCCAGCGCGCGCCAGAAGTGAGCAGCCGGCGGGACGATGCGCGAGGTACTGAGGGGGGACGAGACTGCGTCTCGCCGAGGGTCGCGCCACCCTGACCACACTTATTGATCTGAGAACCTCCGCCATGTGGTCGCAGCAAATGCCACGTCATGTGAACTTTAGCAAGAATAGAAACCGTGGGGGGTGGGGGCAAACCCGGCATCCACCTCGGCCCCCTCCCCCGGGTGAATTTTTGTAAAAATAAAAAAGAAATGTGCCAGATATTAATATCAAAATTAAGATTATTTTATGCAATAATATATGGTGAAATCATAATTCTCTTCGCCAATTTGGAACGTTCAAGTCAAGGAAACTAGATGAGGAGGACATGTAGCACGCATGGCAGGAAGGACGAAGGTGACAAAGCCAGGAGGAAAGAGACCACTACAAAGATTTATACTTAGGCAGGAGGATAATATTAAAAGGGATGCGGTGTCTTCTACACGGTCCGTGCCGTGGCTGTATAACGAGAATCGTTCTAGATGTGTCAACAGAGGACTTATGTGTACTGCAAAAGGAAGAATTTTCAATAACATGCTATATGTGCGAAATGTACATTCTCGTCAGAGAGGATGTCACATAAGGACTACGAGTATTACCACAAGGGTTCAAGTTGAAAAGAAAACCTCTGGTCGTGGGTCTCAAGGGGCTTTCTTTTATTGCTAGTGGGGTGGAACTAAGTCCCTTGCAACTGCGGCCACTTCTGGCCTATTGTACCAGCCCCAGATGATAGGTGAGGGTGATTGTGGAGCAATTGGTGGAAGGAAGATTGGCAGAGGAAACCGAAGTACTCTGAGAAAACCTGCCCCAGCGCCATTTTGTCCACCACAAATCCCACATAACATGACCCAGGCTCGAACCTGTACCGCCGCGGTGGGACGCCGGTGACTAACCGCCTGAGCTATGGCGCGGCCCTCAAGGGGCTTGATTGGCGGTAAGCCGCCAGTCATAAAGTAACTTTGACTTTGACTTACGTGTATGTCAGCAGTGGTTTGAAGGCTCCCAGAGCCGTCAGACAGTAAAATATGAGTCCCGTAGGACTCGGAACCAAGAATCACTGTTCTGGCGGAGGCCAGCAGCAATTTAACAGTCAGTCAATCAAGCGATGTCACTGTTGGGAGCCTTTACCAAACAACGGGTACGTGAAGGCACAGCTGACTGGGAAGTCTTAGCGTGTGCCGTAGTGAGATGTAGAATGAGTGAATCACTCAGGGCCTTATGATTACTTCTAGTTACGAGTTATAAGTGTTCAATAAATCAGTTATCAGTCCAAACCCCGTGTCTAGTCAGTAACACGTGCCAATATTTCATTAGTTAGCAAACGCCGTAAAACGTTAACATTTGATTCAAGGGCAACAGGGCTTCATTATGACATCGTGAAGTCGGACTGCTTTGATAACAATCGTAAAATTACACAAGAAATATTTGCATATGCGCCATAGAAAGGTTTAATTTAACTTTTATGTTTGTTAAGCGAAGGCAAATTTGTCTTTCTCTTGTCCTTCAATTTCGTGTTTCTCTTGTTTCCCATATCTGCAAGGCGACAGGCTTGGAATTAACACAGTTATGTAGATATCTGTTTCTTAACAAATTATTGATTCCGTATTTTAACGAATTATTTGCATCTTATTGAGTTTTATTTTTTCTTACATATTCGTGTGCTTATTTATTTATGGGTTATTTAATGGTCAGTATTTGAGGCCAATCGTGCCCTAATTGGAGATACTCTGTCTCTCTCTATGTCTCTACAGCCCTTTGGACCTTGGTCGCTTTTTCAGTTTCTTACTCCTATACACAGTGGGCAGGACTCCTTGGACGGGGGATCAGCCCATCGCAAGTCCGCTACACACAGAACAACACAAACATTAAATAAATGCACACAGACATCCATGCCTCGAGTGGGATTCAAACCCACGATCCCAGTGTTTGAGCCGGTGAAGACATTTCATACCTTAGACCCCGCGGCCACTGGGATCCGCTAATTAGAGATACTGTCCCGATATCTGTCAAGAGGGACTGAATCAAACCACGGAAGAACTTAGGATGGTCAGCTTGCCAGCCGAATTTCGAACTGGGCACTCCCACCGCCTCAGCCACCATGCTGTGTAGCGTATTCTTGGAATATTAATGTTTCCTCTTGGCTTCCGGTTTATTGGCATTGTGTTACGCATAGCTGGCCTCTGTGTGGGTGAAGTGAAGAAACAAGCTAATGTTATCCCTCTACTTAATTCTGTGCCATGAAGGCATGTGGATAAGTGGAGGTTCAGCTCCACCATTCTTAACCACGGCACTAGATAGTGGTGAGTGGTCAGCTTACGCCCCTGCTGTTTCACCCCCGGCAAAGAGCCTCAGGTACCCTTTGGATAGGAGGCTGCGTGGGCCAAAGGGTCGGTAGGCGAACCCCGGTTGTCCAGCCCTCTCCATGAGGGTTGCTGACAAAGTATAGTGGTTTACTGTAGCTTTTCAGAAGAATGATTTTGATTAGGGTACAATAACATTTCAACTATATTAATTTAGTTTTAGAATATTTTTGGCGAATTTAATTTGGTCGTCACAAGGTTTTCTCCCCCAGGGGGAGCAGTTACTCTTTAACCCTGAAGATGGAGACATGTTCTTCCAAAACGTCTGTTGACTTTCAACGGACTACACGCCGTTCTAGCCCACAAGATGTACCACTCCAAAATCACCAGGGCCCGGATTTTGATGACATGTCATCTTTTTTTCCTTGTATCCTATACGATGCTCTTAAAATATATAAATCTCGGATATGAGCTGCTGGTTACAGAAATGTAAATTTTATAGGTATTTTTTTTGTCATTTTTTGACATTTTTAGGTTTAAGGTCGTTTTTTCATTTTGGGGATAATTTTTTGGTAAATTTTTGGACTTTTAAGGGTATTTCTTGTCATTTTTGGCCATTTTAGGGAATTTTTCTTCATGTGTTTTCTGAAATGTGAATAACATGGAAGCGAAGTGTTCTTTCTTTTCTCCTTTAGGTCATTTTTCTGGATTTTTTCCGTCATTTTATATGTCATTATTTAATATTTTCAGGTCATCAAAATCCGGGCCCTGCATATTACATTTTTGGGTCATATTTTAGGTCGTTTCTCTGGATGTTTTTCGGTCATTTTCTAGGTCATTTTTTAAATATTTTCAGGTCATCAAAATCCGGGCCCTTATTAATCACCAATGTAATAACCTAAGATCCTGCAACTGCGTACAGAATTTTTGGTAGTAATATGTGGTAGATTTCTTTCTTCTTTGTTGCCCGTTCTTCCCCTCCGCCCCCCCACAAC